TTAATGACAATGATGCAATTATTGTCAAAAGGAGTGAGAGATGCTCCGTTTGCTGTCCTCGTTTTTCTTCCATTTTAGGAATGTTGCTCATTTTCACTTTGACTTGTTTACCGACGTGGTGCAAATGCACCAGGAGAGATTAATCAGGCAAAGTGTGACGCTGCATGTCAAATTAGATCAAAGTTATTATTAGTAGAGAATTACTGAGAGAATTTGTTGACCTGACAAATCTTACCATTACGGCAGGTTTGCATGAGTACGGTGTGGTGCGCTGGTCAGATTCTGACCAACATGGAAAACATGCAGACGGAAAAAGATTTCCATAAAAACACATCCCCTCTGTGCAGCACGGTGGCGGCAGCATCGAGCTGTGAGAACGGCGCCCTGGTGCAGGCGGAGAGAGGGAAGCTGGTCAGAGTTGATAGGAAGATGAAACAGGACAATCCTGGGGGGAAAACGTGTTTGAGCCTAATGCAGAAAGCTTTTTTTATTATCACTTTTGTTTCGCATAACGTTATGAGAATCATGCATCCTTTTCTGTCCACTCCACGCTAACTTGTTGCGATTCATAACATAAAGTCTCAGTAAAATTGCACTCATTTCGCTTTTATTTTGACAAAATTAGGCAAAGGCTTAAGACGTGTGAATCACCTGTCACGTGACTTGCAGAAAATGTTTTAAAAACAGAAGCTCCTCTCCTGCTTTTTAAGCAATGAAAGGCAGAATGTGCACTTCTTAGCTTGCAGACGTATGAGTGAAAACAACAGCAAACAACTTCCACTGCTACATATTGTAGCCACATTGGCTTTTGCAAAAGTGTCTTGATTAAGGCTAAAACTTGATACTTGTTTCACTTGTTCTTTTAAAGGAAAGAGAGAGAGAGAAAAAGATACTTTCTGGTTTTGAATGGGGCTATGTGCTGGCTCTGCTATCAAAGAGCCTCAAGAGAGGATTGTGAAGCTGGCAGCCAAACAGACTCTGCTTTGCTTGGCAAAGAATAAGTCTGGTACTGTCTTTCAGAAGATCATTCTGTGTTGTTTGTGGGCATTGGCTTTCAGTCAGATGAAACAAAACTTTAAGTAAATACACCAAGAGTTGATTAGAGAGTTTCGTTTTGGAAGGAGTCTGCTGGCGTTTTCTGTCTTCGCCTTCGCTGAGGACGAGTTGCATGTCAACAATCTGAACCCAACACTTGGGGAATGTTTTAAAGACAGCCAATGGATTTTTTGTTTTTAATTAACTGATGCTTGTGACAATGCAAACACAGCTGTGGAGTGATGTAGGAATTTTGTCTGCATGGTTTTACACAATAAAAAGTTTTGAGAGCTCCACTGATTGAACAAGATCGGAAAATTCAGCTTTTTATATATATATATGGTGTGATGACATCACAACAGGCAAAAAAAACCCTGAGCAGCTGGCATTAATAAGCATTACAGTGAACTGCCAAAATATTACATATTTCAACAGATTCTGAAGGATTCATGTTGCAAGTGGACCAACCTCATGTGTATGAACCAGAATTTGACTGTTACAATGAAGCTAAAGGAAATGATGGCACTGACAAACATCCACACATACAGATCCTTTCAGACGTCTGTCGTCCATCTCATCGTTTTTCTTTTGGGTAGAGGCTGGAGGGTGGTAACGCTGTTGCCTAGCAGCAAGGAAGGTCCTGGGTCCAGGATGCGGTTCCCGTTCATGTGTTGATCCGCTCTGGCAGCTCCAGCTGCTCCTCCACATCCACGGAGTCTAAAAGCACGACTGTTCGGCTGATCAGTCAATAAACAAGAAACAGATGTAAGATGGGCAGACGTACGCCTTTTGTGATGTCATCAGAGGCATTTCTGATGAAATAAGGATTTACAATAAAATAGCAAAAATATGGAAAACTTTGTAGTCAAACTATATTTAATGTGTTAGATTTTGCAAGTCTCTTTAAAAAAAAAAACGTATTAAATCGTTAGCTGTTCCTTTAATGTGGCGATGAAGAAAAAAAGAATACACAAAAAAAGAGATTGTCTTGACAGCCTTTTAGTTCTGCTGTAAACCAAATCACCAATGGCCTTCTCTATCCAGCAATAATTAGACAAATGGGGCCGAAGCTGATTACACCTGTAATGTTTTAGTATGTCTGACCTGCTGGTGCATGTCTCTGAATGGTGTGGCAGCTGCTTTATTGGTGAGACGGCACATCATGCAGCCATTCTCCATTCTCAGGCAATAAGGTGCAGGAAATGAACTTAACCAAGAGAGCAGGCGAAGGCAGACTACCATCGCTGCTGCTGATCAGCGCTATCATCACCTGTGTAATTGCTTTACCATTGACCTGTTTGTACCTGCCCCCGAATGCTGTCCGACAATTATGGGTGACATCACAGGTCCACCCAGCCTGGTCTTTGTCAGCCTGATTTGTGTGTTTGTGTGTGTGTGTGGGGGTGTGTGTGTGTGCGTGTGTGTGTGTGTGTGTGTGTGTGTGTGACTTTCCCATTCTCACTGTCTGTCCCATTCTCCTGGTAGCACAATGAGATAAGGTACAGTGAACACCAACTCTGTAATAACTCTCAAAGGCCATGCCTATTAGCGCCGCACACCATTCTAGCCGTCCCACTGTTTTTGATACTGCCACATTGACAAGCATTACACAGTCATTGGGTTTCAGGAGCTCTTACCACCCTGAGCCCACACATCATAACAGTGGGCTTAACATTGCGCCCCAAGAAAGCTATGGGAGTTTTCTTCTCTTTTTTTGTTGTTTTTGTTGAAATTGACCAACATCTGACTCGCTTTCTTTTTCTTGTTTGTTTTTTTTTTTTTTCAATCTGCTTACATTTGCTTCTCCTTTTTTTTAAAGAAGAAAATTGCCTCCTTTTGTTCCTAAACTCCCTGGTAGTCATCCTCAACTGGCCTTCTTCCTTCCCACCCTCCTCTCTGCCTCTCGTGGCTCATTTCCTCACTACAAAGATGCTTTACTGGTGAAAAGCTATTATTTTGCCTTGTCTTCCTGCGTCCGACTTTTTTTTCACGTTAGTCACAGTGTTTCTTCTTCTTCTTCTTCTTGCATGGTGCTTGGGAGGATTTCAGCATGTTCCTATGCATGAAAGACATTTCTTTTCTTCCTAACAATGTCAGCTTTTCTGCCTTTTTAGCAGCAAACAATAGACACAGGGATAACAAACATTTCTTTCTAAACAGTATCAAAGAGGCGGCCCAGTGGTATTCCAGTGTAGGAACAGGTACGTCGTCTGAACCGACTCTAAAGTCGCCTTTGAGACGGGAGAATGGATGGATGATGAGTTTGGTGAGAAGCAATGGAGTTTTTCTCAGTTGTCAAGTTGTTTGTAAGACGGTGAAATAAGAGATATGGTGTAGGATTAAATAATTGTTCACTTTTTACTACTCTTTTTTTTCCCCAAACATTAAAGTAGTGGTAAAGTTATTATTTTGTTCCTGGTTATATATGCGCATGTTTTCTCTGTTCAACCGATTTCTTGTTTTCTTGTTTTTTAAAAACATATTTGTAATAAACAAAAGAAATGTAATAAAAATCAACGTACTCAATTTAGTAAATGTACCTTCAATGCAGGCAGATCTCAGAGGATGAAACGTAAATAAATTCAGGAGTTGAAGGAAAGCTACAGTTCTTATGAATGGGTTCGTATGTTTGAACGTTTTCAAATTTTGCTTAAGTCGCAACCACAAATTTCGTCACATTTTATGATGATTTTTTTTGCTGAATAACTAAAGGAATACTTGAAATGTAATGGTTTTCTGCAGTTTTTCCTAAAAAAAAAAGAGAGAAAAAAATCTAGAAAGTGCAGTGTGCATTTATTTTTCAGCCCTCCTGAGTTCTACTGAGACATTTGTGTTACAAAAAAACATTTTTTTAAACAAGACACCTTTGAGATAAACATGCCCCACCCTCATGTTTACATTTTAGAAAAAGATGGAGGCAAGAAACAGCGAGGAGGGACTTTTTCCACTTCGTACTGACTGAATGTCAGATTTGTCAACACTGTCTGGTCGGTTTAGGGGAAGACGGCTCGTCGGGTTTGGCACAAACCAGCTGAGCTCAGTGGCATTCTGGCAATCGACCCAAAATGAAGTATTCTTTTTCTTTTTTAATTTTCAAATAGTCAATACAAAACACAAAAAAATAAAACGGATGCGTTTGACTCTTGTAAATTTTAATAAAGGTTTGTTCTCATTAACGAACCGCCCCCAAAAATCCCCTGCTCTTTTCTTTAATTTAGACCATCACTACACTGCATGCAAAAGAATTGTTCCAGAGAGTTACTTTTTTCTGTCGATGTCATAGATTAGATCCTAATCATCATTAGCGGTTATTATTTTCTTTTAATTTGAAGGAAGCGGCGCGCTCTGATAGCGTATCTTTATGATAATCTAGTTCCTTTGCTCTTCGTTTTACACAATGGGAATAACAATCATTGTTTCCTCTTTTTGCGCCCTGCGACTTTTTTCTTCTTTTCACCCCAACAGAATCAAAGGGCGTGCAGCGAGACAGACTTTCATTACCGCAGGGCGCCGAGACACACCCATGCAAAAAGTCGTTCACTCTGTTGAGGTTTAACAGTTAAATATTTTGTCAGATCTTTGCAAATCTTGCCGCTCACGTCAACGCTGTTTTACATGCTGGGCCGAACAATTCCAGACAAGATGTCCTGCAGAAAACGAGAGGAGAGTATGACTCTCCCCCGACCTGACAGAAATAATAAGGTTTGCACATAACTGCTGTTGACCGCAAATGCTGTCTCTGTTGCAGGAGGATCTTGACAGCAAACTCCACATTGTACATTGCTGGTGTCTGAACTAAAAATATCACCAAGCCACTACTCCTGATTCAATTATCACCAGTTTTAGCACGTCTTTTTCCTCCTCTGTTAAATATTCTAAATATCCAGTTTTCCCTCCCTCTATGTATGATCTGCTCACTTTCTTCCTCTCTTCTCTTGTCTTGAAATGTCACCTCTGCGCTCCAGCCTCTATTGTCGCCCAGAAGTGGTGGTGTCACATGCAGCCCTGCATGGACGGAGAGGAGTGCAAAGTCCTGCCCGACCTGACAGGCTGGTCATGCAGCACCGGCAACAAAGTCAAAACCACCAAGGTAGGAAGAGAACCTGAAAACCTACATAAGGCAATATGATCTCTGTTTCAGAGTATATCATCCCAGGCTGTTGTGAAGGGGTAAATGCATGCGATTGCAGAAAGAAAAAATGAAACCCCATCAGGTAAAATTAGTCTTTTGTTTTTTTTTAAAAGGGAGGATTTAAATTGTTCTTCAATCGTTGGTCATTTCAAACCATCATCATCATCATCAACACAGAAAAATGGCTGCTGCTTGCATCACTTCACCCAAATCAGACATTTATCGAATGATCTTTAACTAGAGAAGTTCAACTGCTTTCTATTAACATTTAACTTAGATGTACGACTCATTTGCACCTGGACGTTAATATTATTGAGAACCTATCAATATTTTAAATTGATATGATTTTGAATCTAAAAAAAAAACACTGAAACTTTTAAGTTAATAATTGATTTTCTCACTTGCCAACTGTCATGGCGCCCTTTATGATCTTGTGTTTTTATCATATAAAGCACGTTGCTCAAATGTGCTATACAAATAAACTTGATTGATTGATTATTGAACGCCAATATGTCATAGAAACGTCTGACAAAAACATCTGGGGACACAAAAGCAGTAAAAGTTGTGAAAAACTTTCGGTCTTCCAACTTTATACTGCAAACAAGGCCCATCTTACCCGGGGCTTCAACCTGCGCTGACGATCAGGCCGTGTGTAAGTGAGCATGAAGGAACACGGGTGGAACAAAAGGCCCAATCACAACGAAGAACCAGACAGACAGACAACAGTGAGTGTATCATTTTCTTAACAAATCTTTAAAGAATGAATTAATGTATATTCTGAGTGCTTTCTGTCAGAACCAGCGTTGGCTTTGTCAGCAAGTTGACCAACGGCAGCAGCTGACCCATTGGATCAGACCAGCCCTGAGTAAACAAAACACTTCTTATTAAAAACAGAAAAGTAGCTGTTTATTTATTAAGTGGTTGATGAGTCATGCTATCTGCTCAAGGACTCAGCTTGTAGTCAGGTACTTCACAAGACATGCAGCTCATAGTTTCTTTTCTCTAACTGGGGAAAAAGGTTGGAGCTTTTATTTCAGCCTTTTTTAAGCAGAAGAGGAAGGTATGACGAAATACTTGAGTTGTTCAGAAATCCAAACTTTTAAAAGGGAAGGTATCATTGATTTTCTATCAAGCAGGATCAAATCAAGTCACTTATGTTGCCTTCAGTTGTTATAAAAATGCGTTTATGTCAAACATGACATAAAAGGAATATGACTCAGCAATTTAACGCTTTGAAATTTGGCCTCTGTCTCTTTAAGAAGCTCCTACTGTTTCTGACTCTCCGCCTTCAGCGCGACATCACAATTCTCCTCCATGTTGCCGTTTACAACCATTCTTGTCACCATTGGCCTTCCTTCCCTTTTCTGTTTGATTGTCTTGGCAACGGCAACTATAGCAGCGCAACGGAGTGTCTCTTCATCTGTGGCAGCAACTAAGGATGCGACTTCATCAGTGTCCAGTGGGGAATGGATGGCGTGTCCACTCCTGCCTTGACCAAGATTTAAAGCAGACCAACCCGACCTTGAGCTTTAATTTGGTGCATTTCTTTTCTTTAAGTTTTCTCTTCTTATTAGCTGCAGGTGAATAAGTTTCCAGCTCTGCGTCTCCTTCAGTTTTCTCCCTTTAGAAGGCCGCTAATGAAACGGGTCTCACAGGGCGAGCAGCGGCGTTAGGAATAATGCAAACAAATGTTCGGCTTGTCACAAGCGTAAATGAATAAGCCTCGAAAAAGTTAAGAAAACACACGCCGCCTCGACAACAAGCGGGACCCTTAGTGTGCATCATGTTTTATTACAAGTCTAAGTATAATTCATACAACCGCTATATGATCCAGAGTAAATGAATGTCATTCAGATGGGATAAATTGATTTAAATGAGGGTCCTTCATGGCCCTTTGTAAGTAGTTGAAGTGTGAAAGTTAATTTGAAGCTGTAGACGTGTGTATGTGTACACATAAGCCTGCTTGCTTGCGTGTGCGTGTGTGTGTCGTGGGACCCAATGAGCAGGTGCTTTTTATTTACAGCTGAAATATAAAAAGAGAAACAGTTGGAGGGGGGATGTGGAGCGCGGGGGAAGCGGCGCAGGCGCCGTGAGAGTAATTGCTCGAGAGATGGCACAGCAGCCCAACATCTGTCGTATTCATTAGAATGCATTATGGCGGGATCCTTCCACAGAGGCTGTACAATTAAGAGTCATAATTAAATTGGTGAGCGGGGTAGACTGAGGAGCCGAGGCTCTTCTGAGCTCCATCACAGGCAGCACAATTAATGACCCCGAGTCTAACACCAACTCTGGGAGTGATAGATGCAATTATCCTCGTCCTGTTGCCTTTTCATTTCATCCCTCATTTCTTTTCTTTTTTTTCTGACTTGTCCCATGTAGCCTGACTAGCTGGTCAGCTGACTGTTTTAATTGTGCATTTGCAAGCAGGGAAGCAGTTACTCGGAGACGCGGTGGCGGATGTCACGGCAAGCAGCCGCAACGACACACCGATCCCCCCCGCTCACGCGCTCTGCGGCTTTCGTCTTCATCCGGCTTCTCATTTTCCATCCATGACCTCCTTCCATCACCTCGGCATCATATTTGCCACGATGATCTGTTTCTGTCCGTCTCCTTTTCTCCCACACAGCGTTGGCGTGCTGCAGAAACACGCAGGGCAACACCGAAACGGTTCGACAAGAAAGAGCAAGAGACGGGCTTCACATATAATGTTTCCTACGTCTAACATTACGGTCCAACTTTCACAGCGTTCTCGGGATTGGAACATGAGAGCTGGAGTTTTCTCACTTATCAGCACGTCGGTTCATTTTAAATGCACACGGGGTTAGGTTTGGAGATGGAAAGGTCTTTCCATCTTCAGTTTTACTTGTTCAGCCCACTGCCAGACTGTGAACAAGCTACTGCAGCTGCAAAACATACGGAGTTTAGCTTTAGCCACCAAGTCGCTGCTTACTGTTTCTCTCTGCGGTTTTCTTACTGAACAGAAGGACGGCGAGGCAGAAACAGAGAGGAAGGAGATTGATTTAAAAATTCCTTCTGTGATCTCTGATCCTGGCTTTCAAAAAAGATTTATCCAGCATTTGTGAAGTGAGTGGAGACATGTCGCCACACAGTGATGAACAAAAGCGTTCATACCACTTGAAACATTTTATTGTAATTGTTTTGTCAACCTACCAACGCTTTCAATTGGATTTTATGTAAGGTGGTAGAGCAAGACATAGTGGCACATAATTGGGAAGAGGGAGAAAAAACTGTGCACGGATTATATATAAAGGATTTTTTTTCAACATTAAAAAAAGAATGACAGTCAGATATTTATGTATTGAGCCTCATTTGAGTTCAATTCAGTTCAATTGAAAAATACTTTATTTATTTATGACGTCATAACTCATAACTTCCAAGTATCTTCAAAGAGTTGCTGTGTAGGAGGAAAAAATCTCTGGTAGCAGTCAGTTTTGCAGCTAATCGAAAGAGGCCCCTGACTGAAGTTGGTCTTATGTAAGCCAGGACAAGCTAAAAACTAAATTTCCACGTGGCAGAGGCCTCATATTGTTTTACAGTAGGCTTAAAACAACACCCTAGCTTCGGATATTTCAGAAAGCAAGAATCAAGCTTCTGAAAATGTACTCAACAAATTTAGCCTTCTTGAAAAGAGGCAGGCTTGGAGGAAGGTTAAAAGAAAACCATGAAAAGTTCAGTTTACAACAAGCCAGAGAGAATATTAGAAACTCAACTGATGTGTGACGATACTGAAGCAAGATGGAGACCAAAACTCAAGATACAAAAGCCAAACACGTCACGCACACTACGAAGCACGGTGGAAGCAGCATCATGATATGGAAATACAGGAAGGTGGAAGGTCTCAAGACCTCTTTGACTCTTGAGACTGGTGCAGGAGGTTTACCTTCCAGTAACATGAAAGCAAAGTGGACTCGTGTGTTACAATGGTTTAGTCATAGTCCTGAACTAAGCAAACTACAAAGAAAATAGATTTTCAACGACGATCCCTGCACGACCGAACTGGGCTTGACTGTTCTGCAAAAGGGAGCGGGGAACTCTTCAGTCTATGTGCAAACCTGCCACAAGAGTTTACAGAAAATGTTGCCTGGAAAGGGGGAATAGAAATGGATGTCCCACTTTTGAGACATCCGCTGAGAAATCACGGAGCCGTCGTCCGTCCGCCTCAGAAAGAAAAACATCCCGTCAAATTCTCCGACATATTTTGAATGGCGTGTGAAAAATGGATTCGAGGAGCGTTCGTATTTTTGCATCGTTTGTTCGTGACACACTAATTCTAACTCTCTCTCTCTTTCTGCTTTTCTTTGCAGGTTACGCGATAGCGAGAGCCGCCGAGGCCAAAGGAAACCCGAAGCGCTCCATGTGGAGACGGCGGATGACTCACACGCATTCACAGACTGAAGGGGGAATATGGAGGGGAAGGGACTGCTGTCTGTCACAAAAACAAAACTAAATGGATAAAATGTTCTCATCAAAACCACATGGAGACACAAATGCAGCGAAAACTGTTGGTAGAAGCTATGAGACTACAGCCGAGGTCACACACAGACGATGACGCCATTCCTACTCTCTACGGTGGATCTCGAAACACAAAAATGCAGTATTTTGAAACTGTGCTTGAGCCGAGCGTAGCGCGAACTCAAGGATGCGCTGACGGTGTCGTCAGACCCTGGACGCCTCTGCCAGAGACGGGAGTGAAGAAGGTCTGGGAGCAATGAATGAGATAAAAGCTCATAACTGGCAAAATAGCAAATTAGCATCAGAATGCTCTTGTGGGTCATGTCACCGACGCTCCCGCTGTTTTTGCAGGAGTCATTTTGCAGCTGTAATTAGGGGGGATTGCAGTAGAATCATAACAGCATTATTAAAAATTCATGTAGGATATTTGCACCCGTCGGACCCGTTTGGGTGATGTTCTATTGTTCGGTACACGGCACATCCTTTGTGGTGGACCTAAGATGAAACCGGAGGTGAAGCGTTTTGTAAACTGTCTGACGTGCGAAGTACTGTAGATAAATATGCATATCGTAAACCATTAATTCTGAGTAGTTATTTGGTAAAAAAAAATAAGTATTCATGGAGCTTTACTTTCTTGCAGCTTGGAACAATATGAACTAGAAAACAACGTCTCATTTATTTCTCTTTTTATTTTCGCCCGGAGACATTTATGAGCTCATCCTTCAGAGTTATGTCTCCTTGATCTGCTGGGTTCAGTCGGCGGCGATGGTTTTTAAGGAAAACAATTCACCCAAAAGAATCATCCGTCTTTGTGCCGTTCGCACAGCTGATTGAAACTGATTTTTCTAGCCACAGTGACTTGCAAAAGTATCAATACTTCTTGGCCATTTTAGCATTTTTGTTACTTAAAGAACAGAAACTGATGTATGTTAGTTTGATTATATGAAATAGTCCAACACAAAATAGTGCAGAAGTGTTCAGTGGAAGATATTTATTTGAAACATTTTGCCCAGTAAAAGTCGGAACATTTGTGCAGCTTTGTACCCGACTTCTCCGTTATGTTTGGTCTTCATGACATTATTTGTTTTGCTGTTTTTCTCTAACAAACCTCCACAGAACAGTTTGATTTACATCAATGTTAAACTCACACAGGGAACTGGCTTCCATTAGAAATGCACGCAAAAAAAATATTCTGCTAATGTCGGAAAAACACAATTTTGCAATCTAAGTGTTTGAATTAAATAAGGAGTGCAATTAAAATAACACCCAAATAAGTTTGTCACTACAAGACACGCCGCATCATCGCCATCCTACCACTTCCTGTTGTTTTCTTCGTCTTTTCCAGCAGCAGTAACAACAGGGTGTTTATCACGTGACTCGTGCGATGCGACGAAAGCATTTGGAAATAAACCAATTTCGATGCATCTGAAAACTCACCTCATCCGCCAACTAGTTTTTTTAAATCAAAGAATATGAGATTTTTCTAAATTCCCATTGTCTCCATTCAGCACATTTATTTTGTAGTTTCAATTTGCATAACCAAACGGTCAATGGAAACACAGCTACTGTTATTGTTTGCCAGATGATCATCCACTAACAAATGTAAATCCTATATATAATTTTCCTGCAACTTAACAATCTTACACTACTTTGTGTTTTTCTGATCATAAAGACTTTTTTTTTCTCGTGTCACAAAAGTAAAAATGCTCCAGGGGTCTGAATACTTTTGCAAGCCATTGTGTTTTTAATTTTTTTTACTTTGAATCTAGTGCGGACACTCTGTGGCGTTTCTTAGGCTCTTACAAGCATAAATAGCGAGACTGATTTGTTTTTACATTTTGTATGTCAAGAACGCAAACCGGCTCAATTAGCGGAGGTTTTTGTCGCTACCTTTATCGGTGGATGGATCTTTTTGTGTTCAACGTTTTCCATTGATTGCATCTGATCAATGCTCCTGTGTCATTTACAGAAATAATTGCTGCAGATAATGTCAGCGTTAGAAACCTCCTTCCTCTACAGGGCCCGATCATTACTGCAGTACAGCAGTGTTGCACAGCGAGCAGCCGTCACACTTTTCTGTCTTCTCTCTCAGAGTCTTTTCCCCTCTCTCATGTCCCTCTCCTCTGGCACACTGACAAAGTGATGATAGTGCTGTTAAAAGAAAGTTTTTGTTCCACACGCTGCATCACAGTTTTCTTGCTTGAACTAGAATGGAGCTTTTCTTTCGGTTTTTTTTTGTTTTTTTTTTTTTTTTTTTTTGCTGTCACACTTTTTGAAATGAAGTTTTCTCTCCTGGACATGCATCCAAATCTTTCTCACGCGGCATCCAGTCTGCCTCTCTGATACGTGAATGTGCTGGGTCAGCATGCCTGGGGGTTAGCCTTCTGGGGCCAGCTCCTCCTCCTCCTCTTCTGCTTTTCAGACATGCCGCCTTGTGAGCTATGATAAATCTTTGGGAGCTGAGCCGCTGACTCTCCGGCTGCAGCGCTGAGCTCTGAGCCAGAGGGAGCTCGGGGGACGGCAGGGCTACCAGTGGCAGGCGCCTCCACTCTCTCATTACTGAGAGGCCTGGATAGAGCCGGTTTCCTCCTGGGAACACTGACACGGAATATTTTTAGGCTTACGGTGCAGCGTTGCCGTTAGGCCAGTCACACCACACTGCCCTCTTTCTTTGAGCACCGTCTCAGCAACAATAGTCTATTTTGAGAAAAGGAAGAAGAAAAAAAAACATGACGTTCTGCTGTAGCAGTCATGCACATTTTATATATACATGCATACAAAAAAACAACAACAATAAAAAAACCATGCACATGCACATTGGTAAACTTTACAGGTGCTTCTAGAACATCATTGTATATGTTCACATATTCACTTCAGAAGGTGAAACCTGTTTCATTACGTACAAAGTGATATATTTCAAGCATTTATTTCTGTTCATTTTGATAGTTGATGAAAATGTACAATTCAGATTAACAGAAAATGTGAATATTATAGAAGACAGATTAAAAAAAGTGTATTTAGAACTGAAATGTACTCAGTCGGGGCACCTTTTGTACGAGTTGCCCCATCAATATAGCATGATAAGGAGGCTGTCTGCCTGCAGCTCTGCTGGGTGTTGAAGAAGCTCGGGTTGCTCCGTGAGTAGCCCTGACCTCGTCTGCATTGTTGGATTTAGTGTCAAAGCCCTCTAAAGGCAGCAGTTATTCCTGTGCAACTTCCTCAGCCCCACTTTTTCCTTCCACTAAGCTTCCCATAAATGCGCTCGGATAAAGCCCTCTGTGAGTATCCTGCTTCTTTAGCGATCTTTGTGTGGCTTACACGCCTTATCGAGGGTCAGGGTTGAGTAACTGTCTGCTGCTTTTATTGGTCTAATAAAATATTAAAATTTTCTGCACAACTGAGTTTTCTTTGTTTATATCGTTATAAGCATTGCCATTAAAACTTTTTTTTACACAAATAAACCACGGGAATATATCAACCTCGAAAGCTGAATTATTCAAATATGTCGTCTGTTGGATCTTTTTGTTTTTCTTCGGTGAGATGAGGAAGGAAGTAGCGAACAGATTGTTTCCTGTTGAAGGTTTGAACAATCAGCCCAAATGAGAACTGCAATATTAAACCACCCTCCTTCCTGACAGGGTTAGGGTTAGGGTTCTGCAGCAGTCAATATTTGATGACTGTTTTTGCACAGCGCTGCTCCCTGGTGGCCGGAGTCCGAGCTGCAGCTCGATCCTGGGTTTCAGCTGCGTTTAAAAAGACGCAACGGCAGCCAGCTGGGGATTCACATCTTCTCAGAGGCGTCAAAGTTGAAGCAATTGCATTGCTGCTCCTTGTCACACTTCAAAAACAATTTGAATGAACAAGAAATACCCATTTTGGTGACATTTCTTTAATTCGGGGAAACAAAGCCAGAGATTCTGTCATCATCACTGTGCTAAACAATAATCATGATTTTTATCTAAACTCAGCCACATATTGACAAGGAAAGCAACATTTTCCCTTCAAAAACCCTTTTTGCTGCTAAATTATTGACTAAATAGACACATTACCTTAGTAATAGATATTTTTTAGTTTGTGAAGCTGTTATTTAGGTTATTCAACCATCAGATTGGTGCATGGACTTCATGGGACTTTTTTGAAACTATTTCTAAGTAGACGTCAATATTGGGGACATTTAGGTTGCTGCAACATGTTTAACATTGAGATGCTACTTTAGGTTTGAATAGTTTCACTTACAGGCGAACTCCTTTAACACAACAGTAATCGTTTTCAGCGTCCCATCATGTGTTTTTATTTTTCCTGGGCCAAAGGAAGCAGCTTTGTCAACCGTCGCTGTTATTTGCGGATATTGCCTGCGCGTCGGACTTGAGGGTGTGCCAGAAACTCATGGCTTCAGCGGTTCTGGCTGGAATCTTTGTCTGCTACAAAATAATAATAATAATAATTTTAAAAAATCAATTCGATTAAAAAATTAATAAAAATTCAAATTGTGCTAAAGTCTATGTCATTGATTCATCAAAATTAACGCTTTAAAGTCCCGTTTGTACATTCATCATTTTCATTGCGCCTAAGAATTAAGTCGTGAAACCACTAAAAAGCTGCAACATGACAAGTCATGAAAAAGTTTAAAGGAGCAGGAAAAGTTTTCCAAGGCACTCGCAGAGAAGATCTTGTGTTTACTTGTGTCTGCAGTGTCTCTGTAGGGGATCGACTTCAAACACAGCTTGGAGACTGCATACTTTTACCTCCACTTGTTAGCAGCTGGTGGGATTTAGAGGCTAGGAGTCATAGAGGCAAACAAACAGCATGGACAAACCTAATGAGAGAGCAGCCAGTCAGAGAGATAGAAAGAGCGAGTGCATGGGAAACAATGAGCTACCGAGGTGAGCTAAGGGGTTACGGTGTAACGCAGTGCATTATGAAGCAATGATGTTTGAGAGGGCAGGAATGGTGCAGAGTATTTCTAAGCATAAGTCCCGTCTGACACAACAACTGTGTGAAATTTGCCCAATCAGCTGGAGGAAGGGGTAAAAACACAGGGATGAATCTCACTCAGCTCATGTGTAATCTTTTGTCTTGTCCAATTTGTCTAAGCCCTGCAGTCAAATCCAGCGGATGCAAGTCCAGGATTCGTGCTCTGTGAGAAAAGCAATCTTGAGATGAAGTGAGTATATCACAGGTAGGGAGGTGTGTGACAACTTGGAATCAGCTTCGGGGGCGGGAGGAAAAAAAGAGGTCTGTCATGGTAGAAGAAACACTTTCCAGCGCAGGCTGTCAGAAACTGACACTGATTTAATAATAGTCAGGAGGAGATTAGCTGATGAAGAAAATATGATTGGAGATATCAGAGCTGGGCGGCAGCTACTCGACATATTGCTGTCGCTCATTTCAGGAGGAAGCGATCAATTTCAGCCGAGCCTTTCATTTCTTTCTTCTTTCAATTCAGTTGCTGTGTGTGGCGTGCCCTGCTAACAAAGTCATACACCCTAAATACTACAACCACAAACTTCAATTTGTTTTATTGGGACGACTCAACAAAACAAAGGATGGCATAACTGGGGCGTGGAAGGGAAAGAATACATATCCTCCAGATTTCCAAACTGTGGTTGTCAAAACCTAAGTTGGACTCTGGGCTTCAAGATGCTTCTTTGTCATTGATGTCAGCTGACAAACCTCTAAAGTGCTGAACACATCGGAGAACTCTCCCTCTATATTCACTTCCTTTGAAACTTACGCGACGAGGAGCAAGTTTCCCTTATCTGTTCTGTTCTTATCTATTCTTCACTATTTCAATGAAACACAGCAAAGATTAATACGGAAATGACGCAACATGAACGTCTGTTTAGTCAAATGAACGCATTTACAGAAGCCTGTTGAACCGATTTTTCTACCGCTGCCACTTCCAACAGCTTTCAGGACTTTTATTGCTCTCGTCGGCCCACATGTTCACTTTGAATACAGTGCAGCGCTTTAGAACAGAACAACATGGCTGTATAGTTTGACTTGCAACTGCAGCTGGTTTGCTTTATAAAACGATGGCGTGGAAGCGGAGAGCAAAAAGCGCCTGCCTATTAACCGGCAGAAAATACATGTCAAAAACAGCCCTACACAATCCATTAAAATTCAATGAAACCAAGAAACAACAAACAATGACGAGGGAAAAAAAAAAAAAAACAGACAAACAATCAAAAGTATCTTTAATATTCATTTGGCGGCAGGCCTGCAACGGGCTGATATTGACGGTGGAGTGAACGAAGGATTCATTAACATTTCCTCTGTTGCTGCTTCCTCTCACCGAGCCGCTTCTCGCTGTGTCGTCAGATTCACTTATCTCTCTAAAGCAATTAGCCACTGGAGGCTCCATTGACCTGAGCCTTTGTCAGACTAGCGGATACATTAGCATGGCAACAGCCTGGCAGAACTTTGCAATGTGTGCAGCTCGTGTGAGTCTGAGACGATTCGGTAGAAACATTATTGGCATATCAACTGGCGTTCGTCATTCTCAAAGTATTTCCAACCTCTTTACCATGTCGTATGTTACGGACTACTCAAAGGTCATCACACAGTACCCCATGATGAAAATGCTTGTTAGTGTATAGAGACTGATGGCTCATGGCTGTGTATGTTTTTGCAGCACCGTTGGCAGCAGAGTATCAAATGTTTTTGGGTATGTCTCTACAGCATGGTCACACCTATTTCCTCTGTGGAGATCATCTCAAACTCAGTCTGGCTGGATGGGCGGTGTCCGTATACATTCAACTTCAGGTGTTTGAGGTGATGCTCTAGTGGATTAACCTTCTGTCTTTGGATGAATCAGTCAAGGACTTTCAAAAGCCTCTTAATCGACACATCGAGCTGAATTTAAGACGCCTTTGGGCATCTCTTCTGCAAAGGGACTGATGCAGTGAGAGTGATTGAGGCTTGCTTACCTCTGTTATTCCCCACACTCACTAAGTGAGGTAATCACAGCTGTGCAGGTGATCTCCGTAGCGAACAGCGGGTTTTCCAGTAAAACAGAGTGAAATAAGTGGTGACGCATGCTTTGTGTGAACAATTATTCACGGGTTTTAAAAGTCTAAGCATGTTTCAGAAAATATTCCTAACAGGAAGAGCAGAAAGGTAAGCGCCATCACTGAAGTTGACAACAGGTTTCCCTGCTCGACTTCATCCTCCATTATCATTTCCAAAACAATAGTCTGAGGAGATCTCAGATGGTTTTTATGCAAAGTGTCGACGTCAATGCACAACCTATCTTCCTCTCATCCCACATGTCGTCGCTTGTGCAGGATATTGCCGTTTCCACCGGTGGTTGGTGGATAGCCAGGAGGCACTGAGAGGCAGCTTGTGTTTAAGGGTTATGAAAAAAGTGTTATTTAAAAGAGGCTGGAGACTGCTCTCAGTTGTCGTGGCTTCAGGTAATTTTCATTTCATTTTCTAGTCGGAGTTCCAGGTTTACCTGAAAACGCTTATATCATTTCACTCTCTATGAGGACTAGTTGCCCGAAAAACATCCCTGCAGCATTTTGCTCTTTAACAGGAAGTGAAACATTGGAAGACTATACATGTATGTTTCCAGTTTTAAAAAAATAAAACTTTGTAGATACGGCTTATAGTGAGGTGCGCTCTATAGTCTGGAGAATCCAGTACTCAAAAATAATTTTTAAAAAGTGTTTCATGTAAGACAATTTATAAAAAAAGCCTTCTTTCTGATGGTGATACATGTGTGTATTTTGTGTCTTAGAATCCCGGTTTGCTTAAAGACGGCATAGAAGACTCAATATTAACGTTTTTTACAAACAACCAGAGTCACAACCAAACGCAGAGCTGTGCTTCTCCTGTGGTTTGGCTGATGACGTGCACAACACCACGACAATATATATCCTCACACTCAATAACTCCATGGTGCCGAGTGGAATAATATGCAAACATGCTAGCAAAGTGACACGTTTAATTTAGGCAAGCGACGCCTCAGGATTACACACACAGACACACATCTGCATGACAGCATGATGAGTCGCAGTGGCAGCAGGGGAAAAGCAGACTGTAAAAGCCAGAGCGCTTTGTTTGAGACACTGAGGTGGTAAATATCTGGTATTTCAAATACAATTCAAACTTGTGGAAACACTATTATTCTTACTGTCACAATATTTGACTCTCAAGCCCAGCTCTCTAACAAGTTGGAGCCCAACTTTCAGCCACTATTTGTCCCCGACAGATAAATAAGCTGCGAGCAAGTGCTGCGGTGTTGAAACCAATGACTGCACAGGCTACATTTATTTGCGTCGTTCATAATTAGTTGTCCAAATGCACTATAGTCTCCCTCCATCCTAAGCCATATTAATGGTTTGTTTTCCTGAGAAATGTGTGTTGTCTGGAACACTGGG